AAAAAAAAAAAAAAAAAAAAAAAAAAAAAAAAAAAAAAAAAAAAAAAAAAAATCATCAAACTTGAATTATTCTGCAAATATCTGTAGAAATTTACAACGAGAGTGTACCTTCTACCAACTGGTGACCTGTCCATGAGGTGATTGGTTGGTGGTTCAGTAGCCAACGCTAATGCTCCAAGAGTGTCCATAATAAGATTAACCCACAAAAGCTGTCAAAAGTGTAGACACATGTCAATCAACACGTTATTTATGATGATACTCGATGGATGGCACCCAACAGAAAGAGTGCACAAACCTGCACAGCATTTAGTGGGACATCACCGGAGGATATTGCTGCCACCACATTGATAATAAGTGCTGCAACATTAACCGTAAGCTGAAACTGGATGAATTTCTGAATATTTGCATATACTGATCGGCCCCACCGTACAACCTGCATCCAGCCGACAATGATCGGCCCCACCGGACCATGTATCAAAGGCTATATTAGTTACACCAATGAGACAGATAACTGCTGGTAATTTTCCAATACAAAAAGTTAAATAAAATAAAAAAGAAGCTTGAATAACAAGACTGACCTTCACAACTGAAGCAAAGTTGTCATCTAAAATAATAATATCTGAGCTTTCTTTGGCAACTTCTGTCCCCTGAATGCCCATTGCAAGACCAATATCTGCCTACACTCAGAAAGAGTAGAATTTAAAACGTTGAAGAATAAAATGGAAAACAGCAAGCCAGAAACTACAGATATCAGGGATAAAATTCCAAGATCAAATTGTTTTATCAGGAAACTACGGATATCTCTCAGGGCCCAGCAGTTTGTATCATGTTTATTCACACCCTGCAGCAAGGGATCTACTTAGAATAATTACTACTATTCTTATTAATGATGCCTGTCACTGACTTTACTTAACAATGATTGAAAAGTAGTGACTTATAGGTAGTAGCAAACCTCGTGTAATGCAGGAGCATCATTTGTACCATCTCCAGTTACAGCAACTACATGTCCTCTCTTTCTCAACGCTTGCACAAGGAGAAGCTTATCATTGGGAGAGGATCGACCCATCACCTTAGAATAACCAGAAAAATTTAAGTCAATCTCAATTATTACACGTTATACAAATAAAATTTTTAGCTTCTTTTTTTGCATATATATGGGGGGGGGGGGGGGGGGG